ACAAAACTGCATTCAAAACACGCGATGGGCTGTACGAATTCATCGTTATGCCCTTCGGTCTTACGAATGCACCAGCCACATTTTAGTGCCTCATGAACAAGGTTTTCCGCCATCAGCTCAACAAGTTTGCTGTTGTTTACCTCGACGACATCCTGATTTTCAGCAAGTCAATGGAAGAGCACATCAAGCACCTTGAGCAGGTTTTGCAGATCCTCAAGGAGGCACAACTGCACCTCAACTTAGAGAAATCTGAGTTTGGTAGGGACAACGTCATCTATCTTGGGCACCGGTTGTCTACAAACGGCCTTGAGCCGGAGGAAACCAAGGTTGAGGTCATACGAAAGTGGCCTCAACCGGCAAACGTACGCGAACTGCGTTCTTTTCTTGGTTTGGCCTCGTATTATCGGAAGTTTGTACCCAAATTTTCCGTCATTGCTCACCCACTCTCGAGACTAACAAGTAAGAATGTTGCCTATGCGTGGTGTGAGAAATGTGAGACTGCGTTCTAAGCCTTGAAAGAGGCTTTGGTAAGTCATCCTGTGCTCCGCATTGCGGATCCCAACCTCACGTTCGTAGTCACTACGGACGCGAGCCAGTATGGGATTGGTGCAGTTCTGCAACAAGATGATGGCGATGGCCTACGTCCGCTTGAATATTACAGCAAACGCATGCCCAGCCACAAGGTAGCTACCTCCACGTATATGCGTGAGCTCTACGCCTTGCGCGAGACGCTCACACATTGGAAGCACTACCTCTTGGGTCGTCACTTCAAGGTCTACTCAGATCATCAGACCTTGCAGTGGATTAAAACACAAACTGATCTCTCTTCGACGCTGACCGGCTGGCTGCATGACACTGATGTTTACAACTTTGAACTGAAACACAAGAAAGGTTGTTATAACCGTGTTGTTGATGCTTTGTCGCGCCATCCTGAGTTTTTGACTTGCCTTGTGGACTCATATGACCTCCGAAGGAAACTAAAGGAGGATCTGGTCGAACACACTGCCAAGGATCCGGACCTTAGTCCCATCCTTGACCAGCTCAAGGTTGACCCTAGTAGTCAGCCTGACTTTCACGAGTGTGAGGGTCTTGTATTCCGCCGGCATGGGAAGTTTGATCGTTTGTGTGTACCCAACCATGCACCTCTCCGGACTCATTTCTTGGATTTGGCACATGGTCGGAGTGGACACTTCGGCTTTGAGAAGACTTATGAAAGTCTTTTGCAGCAGTTTGATTGGCCGGGAATGAAGGGATCTGCTCAGAAATTTATTGCTGAAGGTCAAGTCTGTCAAAGAACCAAGGTCCATAGGCATAAGCCGTATGGCCCGCTGAAACCCCTCCCAATTCCTGATGGGCCTGGTGAGTCGGTCTCTATCGATTTCACGGACATGGGGAAGGTGAGCGAGGGAGGACATTCACAAGTCATGGTCATTGTGGATCGTTTTTCCAAATTTCTGAATTTGATTCCTCTACCTCCTCATGCACCAACTGAGCTAGTGATTGAAGAATTTCACCAGCAATACATTCTGCAGTATGGACCCCCGAAAACTCTTGTGAGTGATCGGGACACCAGGTCCATTAGTGCAGATTGGAAGGACTTCACTTCACAGATCTATGGCATTAAACTCAACAAGACTTCTGGTCGACACCCCGAAGCCAATGGACTGGCCGAGGAAATCAACCAGACTGTCTTTCAACTACTGCGCGCATTGATTGTTCCAGATCAGAACACATGGGACAATGAGTTATACAAAGTGAAGGGGTTGTACAACAACTCCATTCACTTTGCAACTGGCGTGACACCGAATCAGCTACAGTATGGTTGGCAGTTGCGCAATCCTCTCTCCTATTTGTTCCCCGAACAGTCCCCTGGTCTGACGCCCGGCATGCCTGCTACAATGCCAAGTACGCACGCCTGCTCAAAGCTGCTATCGCAGCAATGAACAAGCGTCAGCATGCCATGATCAAACATGCTAACAAGTCGCGCAAAGAAGCGAACTTCAAAGTGTCTGGGTCAAAATGTCTGAGTTTTCTGATGAAGAGGGCGTATCACGAAAGCTTCTTCCATTATACTATGGCCCTTGGCAGGTTCTTAAGGTGATTGGGGATGAATTTGGTCCTTCGTATGTGATTGATGTGCCTCCTCATCTGTGCACATATCCGGACTTTCACGCCCAAACTGTTTCCACACATCGATGATGAAACTTTTCCCTTCCGAGATCCTATGATACCTCGTCCTATCCGCGGCGTCCATGAGATAGACAAAATCGTTTGAAGGAAAAGGGAGGAACAGACAATACAAGGTTCACTTCCTCTATCACCCGTTGAACGAGTTTTTCTGGATCGACCAGAAAGAGCTGTTAAAGAATGCCCCACGAGTTGTGAACGCTTATGAACGACAGATCGCTGATGGACAGACTGCTAAGTTTTCTGCAAAACTCACTCCTCACGGTCTTACTAAATCTCTCTTTTTGGTCTACGCCTATGATGCATTTTGTACCGACTCTGAATGAGTTACTCGCTCGAAGGGACCTCGCTCTTGAGAGGGGGGTAGTGTAATAACCCGCCAAAAACACAGACTGATAACACTGCTGATTTATGGGATTTCCCGCTGGAACGAATGCCTTGCTGTGATTCCTGCATTCTGCTGTGGTTTCCAAGTCTGTGTGTGAGCGTGCCTGCTGGTTTGCATGCCTGTCTGAGTGCTTGTCGGCTGAGTGTGGGTGTGACCCGCAAGGGTACTTGTTGGATGAAAGGCCCTGCAGGGCCGGTACTTACCTGTGGCCATGACTTTGAGGGTTGCAGGGGGGAAAACACTCAAGTAGCGGGGGTAGGCCCGCAACACTTAGAGCAGCGGGGAAAAACACTCAAGTAGCAGGTAGGCCGGTACCACTCAAGTAGTGGTAGGAGTGTCGGGTACTGGAGGCCGAGCAGAA